AGGATAAATGTGAAAAATCTACACTAAGACACATCATAATTAAACTGTCAAAAGTGACAAAGAGGATCTTGAAAGCAGCAAGAGAAAAGCAACTTGTCACATATGCAGGAGCTTCTATTAGATCATCAGCTGTTTTCTCAGCAGAAACCTTGTAAGCTAGAAAAGAGTGGGATGTGATGAAAGAAAAAAACTGCCAAAAAAGAATGGGACCAAACTGTCCTTCAAAAATGAAGGAGAAATTAATTAGACTTACCAAGATAAACAAAGCTGAGGGAAATCATAACCAATAGACCTTCTCTACAAGAAATACTGACAGGAGTCCTTCAAGTTGAAGTGAAAAGATGATGAACAGCAACACAAAACCAGATAAAAATATAAAACTCACAGGTAAATACAAGAGACAAAATTCTGTAATATTGTAGATGTGTAAATCACTTTTGAATTTTGTATAGAATTTTTAAAAACATGAGCAATGACAACTCTGTTAATGTATGTATACACAATATAAAAAGAGACAATTTGTGTCATCAGTAACATACAGTGGGTGATCCAGAGAGTTTTTATAAGCAATTGAAGTTGTCAGTTTAAAGTAGACTGTTATAACCTTAATATTCTTTGTATAGTTGCAATGCTAACCACAAATAAAATATTTATAGAATCCAGATGCTCCTTATCGTACAATGGGGTTACATCCCAATAAACCCATTGAAAGTAAAAAATGTACACAGCACATGGTCCTTGACTTATAATGGTTCAACTTATGATTTTCAAATTTACAATAATGCACAAGTGATACATATTAATAGAAACCATAATCCCATTGTAAGTCATAAAGAGCTTTTTGACTTATGATGAGGTTATGTTCAGATAAACTCATTATAAAGTCTAAAAATCGTTAAGTTGAATCACGGTATGTCAGGTACCATTTCTATACACAATGAAAATGAAAAGGAAATCAAAACGTCACTACAAAAAAATCAATGAAACAGAAAAGGAAGAAAATGATAAATAAAAAACTAAAAGATGTAAAAAAAATTAAGAGAATGATAATAAGTAAGTCCTTCAACACAGTGATTACTTTGAAGATAAATAAACACCTTGTTTAGGGGGGAGGGGGGAAATGGTCATTTATTGAAACCTTAAAATCTGTACCCCCATAATATGCCGAAATAAAAAATAAACACCTTGTTTAAAAGAAATACATTAACCAAGTGGATAAACAAACAAGATCCAACTATATACTGTCTACAAGACACTTTAAATCTAAGGAGACACATAGGCTAAAAATGAAAGAATGGAAAAAGGTATTTCACACAAACAGGAATCTAAAGAGAGCTGGGATGGCCATACTTATATCCGACAAAATAGACTTTAAGACAAAAGACTGTCACAAGAGACAAGGAGAAGGGTATTACATAGTGATAAAAGAGTCAGTTCACCAAGAAAACACAACAATTATAAATATATATGCATTAACATTAGAACTTCCAAATATATGAGGCAAACATTGACAAAACTGATAGGAGAAAGTAGACAGGAACATGATAACAATAGGAGCCATTAGTACCCCACTTTCTGATCAACAAAGAAACAGAGGACTTGAACAACACTACAGACCAATGGGACCTAACAAACAGAGGGCTTCACCTAACAATAGTAGCATACATGTTCTTCTCAAGCACACATGGCCATTCTTCAAGTTAGACTGCATGTTAGTCCACAAAACAAATCTTAACAAATTTAAGAAGACTGAAATGATACAAATTATCTTCACTTATGACCATGGAATAAAATTAGAAATTAATAGCAGAAGGAAAACAGGAAAATTCACAAATATGTGGAAATTAAACAATTCACTCTTAGACAAGCAATGGTTCAAAGAAGAAATAAGAAAGGAAATGAGAAAACATCTTGAGATAAATGAAAATGAAAACACAACATACCAAAACTTATGGGAAGCGTCAGAAGCAGTACTAAGAGGTAAATTTCCAGTAGTAAATGCTTATATTAAAGAAGAATGCCTCAGCTCAACAAACTAATTAACCTAATTTAATCTCAAGGAACCAAAAAAGAAGAACCTACTAAGCCCAAAACTAGCGGAAGGAAGAAAATAATAAAGATTATAGCAGAGATAAATGAAATAGAGGATAGAAAAATAGCAGAAAAAAAATCAATGAAACCAGCCGGGCGCGGTGGCTCACGCCTGTAATCCTAGCACTCTGGGAGGCTGAGGCGGGCGGATTGCTCGAGGTCAGGAGTTCGAAACCAGCCTGAGCAAGAGTGAGACCCCGTCTCTACTATAAATAGAAAGAAATTAATTGGCCAACTAATATATATAGAAAAAACTTAGCTGGGCATGGTGGCGCATGCCTATAGTCCCAGCTACTCGGGAGAATGAGGCAGGAGGATCGCTTGAGCCCAGGAGTTTGAGGTTGCTGTGAGCTAGGCTAACACCACAGCACTCACTCTAGCCTGGGCAACAAGCGAGACTCTGTCTCAAAAAAAAAAAAAAAAAAAAATCAATGAAACCAAGAACTGTCTTTTTGAAAACTTCAACAAAATCAACAAACCTTTTGCTAGACTAGGAGAATAGACTAAAATTACTAAAATTAGAAATAAAAGAGAGCACATTACACAGAGAATGTCACAAATAAAAACAATTATATGAGACTACTTCAATGATTATACACTGACAAATTGGATTACCTATAAGAAATGGATGAACTTCTTAAAATGTATAACATATCAAAACTGAATCATGAAGAAATAAAAATCTAAATATACCTGTAACAACTAAAGAGTAATCAAAAAAAGTCTATATTTCACCTCTGGACTCTGGGCTTGTAACTTGCTCTGGCCAAAAGAATATAGCAGAAGTGACTTTGTGCCTTGCAACTTTTGCTCTCTCTCAAAACTGCCACTTTAGGCCAGGTGCAGTGGCTCACGCCTGTAATCCTAACACTCTGTGAGGCCGAGGCGGGCGGATTGCTCGAGGTCAGGAGTTCGAAACCAGCCTGAGCAAGAGTGAGACCCCGTCTCTACTATAAATAGAAAGAAATTAATTGGCCAACTAATATATATAGAAAAAACTTAGCTGGGCATGGTGGCGCATGCCTATAGTCCCAGCTACTCGGGAGAATGAGGCAGGAGGATCGCTTGAGCCCAGGAGTTTGAGGTTGCTGTGAGCTAGGCTAACACCACAGCACTCACTCTAGCCTGGGCAACAAAGCAAGACTCTGTCTCAAAAAAAAAACAAAAAAAAAAAAAACCTGCCACTTTCATGTAAGCAAGTATAGGCTAGCCTCTTGGAGGATGAGAGACCACATGGAGGAGAGTTGAGGTGTCCCAGTCAATAATCAGCCAACCCCAGTAACAAAGCCACCTAGCCAACCTGCAGCTGACCTTAAGTGCACGATCCATCCCAGGTCAGCACAGATGAAAGAGCCACCAAGATGAGCCCGGACTAAATGCTCAACCCACAGAGTCATGAATTAAATAAATGGTTATTGTTTTAAGCCTCTAAATTTTGGGGTGGTTTGTTACACAGCAATAGCTGACCAATACAATGCCTTGTCTGTTAAAATAAGTAAAATTATTTTTAAATAAAAATTAAGAGAAATAGCTGAGAAAGGAATCTGCTTATGTGAGCAGGTGATTCAGAAGTTCCCGTGTGAGAAACACATGGAGATGCTGAGGGTCTCTTGGGATTGTCTAGGCCTGTGGCCAGTTCAAAGAGGCTCCAATATATGGGTCTTCTCGACAGGAGAACAAGTAGAGGGAGCAATGGGAGTTAGCAGTGGTACCCAAAGGCCCCAAAGTCCAGACAGGAACAGCCACCCCTCACCAGATCTAGTGTAAAGTCCTCAGGGACCAGGCTGGACCAAGCTCCTCATGGTAGACACAAGATCCCAGGGACCCACGGGACACACTTAGACCCAAGTCCCACTGCCCTGCCCCAGGAAGAAACTACAGCTTTCTCTGTGCCCACGAGCATCTGGAGTGGGAGGGAGGAAGTGAAACACTGAAAGACTAAGCTGCTGCTTTTTTACTGGAAAACCCTGAGTTCACCTACAAGAGAATGGTGGCAGCCCATCCCGTGCTAACTCCATCCCGTGCACACAACCATATTTTCACTCCTGCTTTACAGATCAGGAAACTGAGGCACAAAGTGCTCAAACGATTGTCATAACGTCACACAGCCAGATCTGCCTGGGTAGAGCCAAGATTTGAACTCAGGCAGCACAGGCAAAGAGGCTGTCAGAAGCTGGCAGAGCCTGGGATTGCTCCAATGCCAAGTTTAAGCTTTTCCTCCCGACAGCCGGCACAGGGGGGCTCCTGAGGGAGTCTAGATCAGTCACAGGAAATGAAGATACGGCCAACACAAATTCTTGCACAACCTGAGTATTACATTTGGACCCCAGGAAATCGAGCCTGACAGAGTTACCCATGACTATGCATTTAGGGATTAGGTCCATGCTCTCCTTGCAGTGCCAGAAGGAGGCCCCCAGGGGGGCTCGCTTTAAAATAAATCCTTCTTAAGCAATGTCGCCTCCTCTATTTCCTACATCCCGTGAATAATGATGGCTAATATGCTTAGCTTTTGCATCGTCTGTGCCTTCACACACATTGTCTCTTATAATCTTCGCAACACCTTTCAGAAGAGGAAATTGCTGCTGCTCCCATTTTGCAAATAAGGAAACAAAGGCTCGGAGATGGCAATGACTTTGAAATCTCACATAGCCAGGGAGAGGAAGACACAGTGTTTGATCCAAAGCCCAGCTGGCCCCAGGGGGCACCCTACAACGGACCATGGTGCTCATCTCCCTCCCGGGGTGCCCAGGTCAGCTGTGGCCAGGGGTCAGCAAGGCTTTGACACAGTGACTACAGCAGCCCCAGCCCAGGCACGAAAGCCGGAAACCCTGTAAGCAGGCTCCTCCCTCTTGCGCCCATGGCCTTGTGTTGCTGTGATGAAAACACTTCCTCAAGTAGCCGTGGCCAAGGGAAGCCAAGACAGTCCTGTGCACGGCCACCTCAGACTCCACCAGCCGCCAGAGAGCAGAACGGTGGCCGTCTTGGGGACCACAGGAGGTGCTGTGTGCCCCCATGACGCCCGCCCCTACCCGCCTGGCCCACTCGCCTCCCTGCTCCCTGCTGCTGGCGCTGTTCCTTGTCCTCTCAGGTGAGTGGGATCCGAGAATGGGGTCCACCCCTGGCTGGTCCCCAAGGGAGGCACCAGGACCCTGGCATGCCTGGAGAAGCTTGACCCCACCACGATGGAGTTTGGAGGGGAAACCGAGAACTTTCCCAACTCCAGAAGAGAGCAGACAGCAGACCCAGTGTCCCGAGAAGCAGCATAGTGAGGTGACTAAGTGTCAGGCTCTGGGCTCACACCCCCTGGGGTTCCAGGTGAGTGCTCGAGTACCCCTGTCTGACACTGTGGCTCTGTTAGCCCCATTGTCCTCTTCTACAGAACAGGGCACTCATAGGACCTTTCTCTAGGGTGCTGTGAGTATTACATAGAAAAGTGGTGAGGCTCAGCCCTGGACCAGCCATGTAATTTGCGAGGCCCAGGGCAAAGTGAAAACGCAAGTATTCTTGTTCAAAAAGTATTAAGCAACACAATGGAGCACAAAACCAAGCATGGTGCCCTGTGCTACTATACAGACCGCACACCCAGGAGCCAGCCCTGGCCCAGCTTGGGACACAGCTTGGCTCAAACCTCACCACTGACTGATTTAAGTTACTTCTCTCTGAGCCTCAGTTTTTCCCATCTGTAAAATGGGGCTAATCATAGGATCTACCTCTTGACTTTGTTAGGAGGATTCAATAAGATAATACCTACAAGTACCTGGCATAACAAAGATTTGACAACTGTTGGCTGTTATTGTTATCATACCTATATCTCCCCTAACTCCAGGTCAAGCCAGGTTAGCTCCTGGTCCTGAGGCTCCTGGGGTAGCTCAGCCTCTGAGTCTAGAACCCTCCAACCCACCAGGCAGGATTTTTGGCCCTCAATGGTGTCATCTGATCTCTTGTCCATCTGGGCCCCTATCCCAGGCCCTACTGAGACTAAGACCTGCTCATCCCACCATGGATCCTCCAGCGCGGTCAACCCAGGAGAGATGGTGGTGGGACCCAGGTGTGTGATCAGACCTGGGTGCTCAGTGAGCAAGGGCTCACTGGCTACGTGACTTGAGACATCGCTTTTCTAAGCTGGTTTCCTTGACTATAAAATGTGAATTGTAATTACTAGTCACTCAATCCACAAATACTTTTGAGTGCTGCTATGTTCAGGCACTAGGCTAGGACATCAGAAATCTAAACTACTCAGAATCAAAAATATTTCAAATATTTTTGGAAAAATATTGATTTTCTACCAAGCTTCCAAAGGGAACCCCTCAAAAGGGACAATGAAAGGCAGAGGATGCAGGAGGGAAATTGATGAGAAGGAATCCCAGGGCTGTGGGGAAGGGGCTGGTCCAGCTCCCAGGACACCTCCGGAAGCCTGTGTCACAATGTAGGAGACTCAGGAAGGGAGAGGGGGTGTAGGGCTGTGGGGCGCCTGGCCTGATTCTGGGCTCTAGCTTCTTCCCTGGTGTTTCACTGCCCCAGACCCAACCCCAGCTGGGATATGACTTTCTGAGTCCTCCCTTTTCCCACTGCCTGGTCTGCATGAAGTGCTCCCTTCTCCCCTCACACATGGGCTTCATCACTGTAAACTTTTGAACAGCTTCATTGAGGTGAAATTGACATACAATCAACTGTACATATACCAAGTATACAGTTTGGTACGTTTTGTAGGTGTTGGGTATGTTTCACATTTGTGAAATCGTCACCAAAATCAAGATAACGAACATATATTTAACACCCACAAAAATTGCCTTATGATTCATCCTTTCCACTTCTCCTTGGCTCCAGGAAACCCTGGATCTGTTTTCTGTCACTATAGATTAGTTTGCATTTTCTAGAATTTTATATAATAAGGATCATACAGTTGTGCTCCTTTTGGTCTGGCTTCTTTTACTCAGCATAACTATTTTGAGATTCATTTGTGTTGTCGTACATACCAATAGTTCATTTCTTTTTGCGTCTATCCATTGCATGGATAAACACTTTTCCATTCACCTGGTGACAGATATTTAGGTTGTTTGCAGTTTGTAGCTATTATAAAATAAAGTGTCTATGATCATTCGTGTAGGAATCCTCGTGTGGACATAAGCTTTCATTTGTCTTGGGGAGAATACCTAAGAATAAACTGACTAGATCATATGCTAGTTGTATGTTTAATGTTTTAAGACACTGCCAAACTGTTTTCCAAAGCAGTTGTACCATTTTACATTTTCATCAGCAATGGATGAGGATGACAGTTCCCCCACATCCTCACCAACACATGCTATGGTCAGCCTTTTTAATTTTCATTATTCTAATAGGTGTGTAGTAATAGCTCATTGTGGTATTAATTTGAATTTCCCTGATGTTTAATGATGCTTAATATCTTTTGTGTCGTGCATCCTTTTTGGTGAAGTGTCTGTTCAATTCCCATTTTTTAAGTTTGTTTCTTATTATTGAGTTTTGAGAGTTCTTTATATATTCTGGATATATAACCTTTTATCAGATATCAGAACCTTTTATCAGGTACATTTACTGAAAAGGGTCTCCTTTCCCCAGTGTATGTTTTTGGCACCTTTGTCAAAAATCAGTTGGCTGTAAATGCGTGGATTTATTTCTGTGTTTTCTATACTCTTCCATTGGTCTATGTGTCTATTTTTATACCAATACCATACTGTTTGGTCACTATATCCTTGTAATATATTTTGAAGTCAGGTAATATGATGCCTCCAGCTTTGTTCTTTTGAGGGACTTCTGTGGCTATTAATTTCTCTTTTATTTCTTTGATTCATGTTATTTAGAAGTTATTTAGTTTCTAAATATATGAATTTTTTCTAGACACCTTTCTGTTATTGATTCTAATTTATTTCATTGTGGACAGAGAATATGCTTTTCATGACTTGAATTCTTTTATACTCATGGAGACTTTTTCTTTGGGTGTGTAGTATCTAATAAATGTCAATTAGGTCGAGTTGGTTGATAGTGTTTTTTAAGTCTTTTTATGTTCTTTCTGATTTTCTGACTACTTGTTCTATCAGCCATTGAAAGAAGAATATTGAAATCTCGGACTCTAACTGTGGATTTGTCTATTTCTCCCTGTAATTCTGTTAGTTTTTGTTTTTGTTTTCTAATGCCCTCATTCTTTCCATATATTGATTTTTGCTTCATAAATTTTGAAACTCTGTTATTAAATGCATAAATGTTTGGAACTGTTTTATTTTCTTGATTAATTTACTCCTTTATATTGTGAAATGACAGTCTTTATCCCCTGTCATTCTGTGCTCTGAAATCTACTTTGATATTAATATATCCACTCCAGCTTTCTTTTTATTAATGTTAGTATGGTATATCTTTTCACATCATTTTTCTTTTAACTTATTTGTGCCTTTATATTCGAAGTACATTTTTGGTAGGCAACATATAGTTGGGTCTTACTTTTTCATCCAACCTGACAATCTAACTGTTACTTAGAAATTTAGACCATTTACATTTAAAATGATTATTAACATGAGTAAGTTTAAATCTATTACCTTCCTGTTTGTCCTACTTGTTATTTGGTCCCTTTTCCCTCTTTCTCTGTCTTCTTTTGGTGATTAAATATTTTTAATACTATTTTGCTTCCATTATTATCTTACTATCTATCTGCATGTTTTTATTTTGCATTTTAGTGGTTGCTTTGGATTTTATAGTTTACATCTTTAATTTATCACAGTCTACCTTTAAGTGATATTGTGCCATTTTACATATAGTATAAAAACCAGCTGTTTGGCAAGACATGACTGGGAGTCTGGAGAAGCTCCCTAACATGGAAAAAGCGTTGAGTGAGAAACTCCAGTGGTCCACATTTCCACCAGAGACTCCTACAATCCTAGCCACGAGACAGCCTCTCCACTTTGTGGGTTCTGAGACTAAAACAGGGAGCTCACTGGAAACTGCATGAAGGCGTTGCTCCTACAGAGAGAGCTCACACTGGGTCCCACAAACTGCTGAGCCCTAAGGTGCTGTAGCACTGTGCCATTGTGACAGCCCAGCCCACACTGGACTGTGTCCTGTTCCGCCAGCTTTGCCCAGCCTCAGCAGGAGCCAGGGGCAGCAACCCTGCCTTCCCCACCAGAGGGTGGCCACATATGTTCACGTGCCCCAAGGACAAATTCCACTACCTGAAACCTCCACCCCTGTAGACTTCTGTGGGCTGAGGTGCAAGCAAAGCCTGTACCCCCCAGCTGCCTGCCTCCAGCTGCTCCGAGGGAAAGCAACCCCGCCCTCCCGAGGAGCAAGGCTGTAGCACAGTTGCTGCCATGCCAACCTGAGTATTCATCTGGTGGCCTGGGGATCACCTTGTCCCAGCCTGCCACAGCCAATCTCAGCATATATCACAGGGTTTGAGGGTACCACCAAGCCTGGTACCATCTACCACTCCTCAAGTAGCAAAGCATACCACCCAGGGACCTGTGGGTCATCCAACCCAGGCCTCTAACAGTGACACCTGAGCAGGGTCAGAAGTAGGGCCCACTCAACCTGCCACTACCACCACAGTTGGTACCCACCCACACACATCACCTGCAGGTCTTGGGACCAGCCCACCCAACCTGTCACAGCCACTGCCAACACCAGCATGGACCACTTGTGTCCCAGAATGTTGTCCCCCCACTGCTACTGCCATCACCCATGCCATACCCACCACCCACAGGCTGGAGAACCTGCCTAACCACCTGGCCCACCACTGGAATTCCTGGAACCTGAGCAAGCCATCAGCCTGCCTGGACCAGCTAACTCCACTGCATATGTACACTGCCTTGGGACTCAAGGACAGGCATATTTAGCCTGTGGCCACAACTGGGATTCCAAAACTGGCCTACCTAGTATCCCAGTCTCCAGAAAAAATTCACCATAGCCTCCACTAACAACTGAACCCTGACCCACCAAGGAAATTGTAGACACCACTGATTCTGTTTATAGCCAAAGAAATCTTACAATCACTACACTACTGCAGGCATCAGAATTAAAGCCAAAGTGTTCTACCCTACCAACAGCAGAGACACATCTTCAGGAAAAAGTCCTCACCTACAA